AACCGTAGCATTCAAAACACAGATTTTCAAATTGTTTATGAATTGTATTGTTAAAGATAAAGCTTTTATCTCCACATATCGTTAGCTTTTACACTCATACTATTTGAATTCGTACCTATTCCCTGATACAAGTATTCATACTGGACCCGGGGGTTGCAGTACTCCAATGTGGGTGTGGATTTTGTTTGACTCTTGAGTGCGCAGAAGTTCTGAACAATAATTCTCCGATTTGTATACAATTAAAGCATCCGAACTTTATTCACTCATTTAAACTACAAAAGACTCGCAGGTCAAATAAGATGTGACGACCATCCATGATTTAGAATCGACGTCAAATATGATCAATCTCTCAAAGGTACGAAAACGTATTTTAGAAGTGAGTTGTATCAAACGCAAACACACTTCTGTATATAAAATGAAATCTAGAAATAAGAATTTTGCTTGCCTATTTTATGATCACTTAATATGTTTATTTATTTTTGAATACTTTTAAAAGATAGGAACATACTATTGTCTATCTTATCATGAAAATCATAATGATACATTTTCTGTAAGTACAAATAATCGTGTCGTATGTTTTTATGATGCTGTTTCGTTAAAAATTGCGATAGTTCAGTTCAATCTTGTTTCTTGAACTTTCAAATATTCAGAACCAAAACGGCTGTAAGAGGGCTGGTACTTGCGTGCGTCAAAAATTTCAACAGCCCAACGTTTTTTGCAAGCGTCATCAAGTCGATTTTTAACATCTTTAGCTATTTTCTGCATTTCTGACGTTCCATGTGTATTAATCGATGTATTGATAATGTTCAATATATCTACTTTCACTGAATCTGTGATTCCAGTCGCTTGTTCTTCGATTTCCCATCTCGCCAGTTTGATCGACTTTGGATTGAATTTATCTAGAATAATAATTAATTAATTCTATTCACACCAATAACTCAATATACATGTATACTGTTTAGTTGTATTTTTGAAAATAAACGCGAAAAAAGAAATGAACAGGCAGGTCGAGAAAAAATTTTCGCTATTACATTAATCGGTAAAGCACTTTCAAGTTAAATAAGTTTCCTTCACAATAATGAGTGAGGTAGAAATAGTGAAGAACTTTTGTTTTCTGTCATTGAGGCGATTACTAATCGTTTTAAACATGATATTGATGTTGAAAGTTTTTTCTAACAAACCTTGCGAACTCAGAACTCAAAACGTCATCACTTACTGAATAGTACATCTGCGACTTTCTATTTCATGCAGATATGTATTGATTTTCTCAGCTTGTTCTAATCGAGACCGATATAGAAAGAAAGTTGTTTTTCATCAATAGATAGAGATTTTTGTACTCTGTGCATCCATGATCCTTTCAAGATTTCTGATGTTCTTGTTGAGGCGAAGAAGACTTCAATCTAACGATTGGTTCTTTTGACAAATTATGTTTTCGAAAGACAGACTTATCATATAAAATGTTGGTTCTAATCTAGTCAAACACAGATTGTAAGAAAGAACATACGTGATCAACACTCAAAATGTAGGACTCTGCTATCAAAAAGTTTTAGATGTCAAATTAACTATCCAATACAAAAGCGCAAAAAAATTTACCATGTGACCAAACTATCAACCGGATCAAAAAATTTTATTTATTTCTTTATGTTTTTAACTTTTTCCAGGAGACTACGCATGTGTCAGAAACCTCGATTTTTGTCAAATTTGTTTTCGTTGAACTTTGAAGAAAAAATATAAGTAAATCTCTACTACAGCCCTACATCAATCGACACAGCAATATTTGCTATATAAAAGTCTTTATTTATGATTTCTCTTCGTACTTCCTATTAGATTTGACGTTCATCATAGAATAAGAGACTATTAATTTTGGAGCGTATTTTTACCCACTGTTTATTTTTCTCCATCATTTTTCTTTTCTATATTGGAGAATTCACTATAAAAATAGTGATTATAAGTTTATATCTGAAAATTATCCTGCCCTCATCTTGCAGTTCGCTCCCTCACAAACATCGATGGTTTATAATGCACAGTATGAAGCACAAAAAGCCAAAATTCTCTGCAAAATCTTGTCTTTTAGTACATTGCTCTTCTGCTAATTTCTATATAAAACGAGCAATCAGATTTATTTGACAAAGAAAACACGATAATTGTTTGACATATCTGACCTGATTTCAAAAATTTTCACGTAATTCGTCTTGGTATATTGTTATTTTCTCCAACTGGTTGCAGAATAGAGAATGAAAAATTCAATATTAACTATCGACTTCCATCATTAGTGGAGAAAACACAAAACAAACGAATATAAAACCATTTCTACAGCACTCTGAGCCTTCCAAAAATGTTCTCCAGATGGGACAAAAAGAAATTCTAAAAGTAAATGTTGTTTAGCGAAAATGATCGAGTGTCGACGTGAAATGGAAATAATCGTCCTTTTAACTTCGAATGTATGGCTGCATGTTTTGACACTTAGGGGTAGCGAACTAAATGCGAGGACGAAATCAAAACTAAACAAACGATCACTAACAAAAAACGAACTGAAGCCAGAAATGATCGATGTCAATATAGAAACAATAAAAGAAGAATGAAGAGTGCCTAAGCAATCAAAAAATTCAAAAGATATTCTAAATGAACAAAGAGAGCGAAACGCATTCAACTCGATCTATTCTTATTTTTGAAAGAGATATATATACTCATTTAACAGTCAGCTCTGTATATCTAAAGATGATTGAGTGTGAGATCCATATTGTAGATTCATCATGAGTTGCGTTAACAAGCCTCTAAAGAAACTACAAAGACCTTTGGATATGTTGACAAACATGAAAAGGCACACCGTTTTTTGTAAAATATGCCTGGCTTAAAGTACCCACGAAGTTCTAAAAAGTTTACAACAAGTTGTTCTATTCGAGACAATTTTTAGTTAGTTTTAAGCATGAAAGTTTTCCCAGTAGGTCAATCCTAACCCGGCATTCATGCGCCCATTTCGGACGGGATTTCCGTTATTCGATAGAGTATGTGAAACTACATTAGGAACACTATCCTAGTCCATCCTCTTGATTCTTCTTCCTCGCAGTTGCTCGAAGAACTAGTTAAATGACCATGACACCATACTCTTCGATGGCTAGCTTTATTTTTTACTTCTAGATCTACCTGTTTTCTCGAATTAAATACTCTGATTATAGCTATGATCCATAATAGTGATTTTCTATTGATGAAGGCATCTAGAAGAGATTTCACTAGATGAACTCGGGCTCAGCTATTACCCATAATGACTACATTGAGATCTTAAGTCTTTACTCTTTGCTGAACAAATCTGCATCCATATCAAAGAGGAAAACGAGAAGCTTAGTATACCACGTATCAACTCTATTCCCTGGATCCACACTGTATTTTCAATGTATCCCTAACTATAGCAGTAAGATAGTTCTCTTGCTTGTTTTTGTCAAAAAATTAGATTCATCCACCTTTTCAAGTACTCGTATTTTCGCTTCGTTTTTCCTCAACAAATTAGAGCTTTTATTTGTCTACTATCTACCAAAAAAAGATTCTTTTAATCTGATGATTTATATGAGTTTCCCGGAAGTTCAAACTGTCGCGTATTGCTTGGTTCATGTATATAATGATGAAAACCATTGTTGTTCTAACTATTAGATCTTCATCATTTATTAGTTAAGAAGCAACCAAAACTTTGAATAATGATTGAAAAGTGATGGTTATTATTATATTAATGACTCATACATCATGTTTTGTTTTAAATTTTATTATTCATAGACCGAATTCCCATCTCGATTGTAAAGGTGCGATTATGATTCTCTTCGTTGAAATATGCCTAGTATACTCAATGTGCTCTCTCTCCTGCCATATGCTCCTCAACAAACTCGAAAATGACAATCGAAGTGGTCATCGAATTCTAATAAATCATGAACTTTTGGTAGGAGAAAGCTGAAGAAAGAATCAGATGGCTCGACAGAGAACCAAGAAAATATCTGATTCATTGAGAAAAATCGAGAAAGAACTCTGATTGGATGAAAGAGAACAAGAAAATAATTCAATTATCACGAATACATTCAAGATATGGTGAGCATCATGCAATGCAAATGATACATAATATATCGAGATTTCTATTTTTCTTATTTGGATAGATGCAGATTTCTCCAGTAAAGGCTGAGAATCTCAATGTAAGCAGTGTGGCAATGGTGGATGTGATTTGAGTTCGAAAGTTCTCACTTAAACCGCATCTACGAGAAAATCAGTTCTCAACTTAAGAAAAAAATAATTTTTTCTCGATTGAGCGTTCACATGTATTTACTTTTATTCCTGTATAACCGTCGAAGACTGATATTTTCTCTATCATATTATACATATTCCTGAGCAGTATTCCTCTTACTAAAAAGGCTACATGAAAAGCTAAAAATCGGTTTTCGTCATTCCTAAGTATATGGATGATACTTAATTTATTCGTAACTTCAATACTCGCTTGAAGAAGCATGTTTATTATTTTATTTATGATAGCCATGCTAAAATGGACATTTTAGTATTCATTTATACCCTGGCAAACTGATTCCAGCCTTGATCCTAATCATCTTATTGATTTTCATTGTAAATTCTTGTGAATTGAACCCAAAGGCGGCAGTTGAAACATTATTGTACTCATCATTTCTTATGGCCAGCGTATTATAATTTCTTTTGGCACAAATTTTACACGGTATATTCTGGACGGACAAAATTCAATTAACAGCGAAAGAAGAAGTTTTGAATTCTCAATTCGAAAGATTCCTAGGGTTAGATTCAACGAATCATATCTACAATTTCGCCTAGATTCTTAAAGATATCTTGGAACAAAAATTGTGTGAGAGAAATAAATAGAGAAAGAAACGACAAAGAATAGATGACAAGGAATCATTGAGCTAGAGATTGGGAGGAGCGAATACCCTTAACAACCATCAAGAATTGTTTGGATGTAGATGGCTTGGTCGGTGATCTTTATTACAACTCTTAGGTACGACTCATGATTGTAACCAAAAGAAAAAAAGACAGCTGGTTTGAAAATTTGTATTTTGCTTACCTCGGGCGCATGGACTACGTTTTTGATGCGCTAGTACATGATTATCGTTGCTCATTACTGTGTCTGATGTTGATTGCATTGTTTGATGTGCAGATGGTACAGATAATAGAGCTCGTGACAGTGTCTTTGGCGGAATAAAAATGAGATTTTCATCAATTATCAATGGACTAATATGGAAATGAACATGTTGAAGGTTGTTGACATCTTGTTCAAAAGATCGAATAGATTCTGTCATTGAATTAATCTGTTCTTGTGTTGCTTCTTGTTCTTGAATCACTTTATTTACATTGCTTCGTATTCGATCAAGTTCTTTTCTCTGTTTGTCTTTTCTCTCTTGAATAAATTGTTCAAATTGTCGATATTTTGTCTCATAGAATTGGTCTACTGTTCTATGAGCATATTCACGCCATTGTTTAAGTTCTGTGAGACTAGATGATTCTATCAAAACACCTTTGTTAAATTGATTTGAGAGTGTATTGATTTGGTCGGCCAAAGGTGGCAATTGAGCACTAATTAAATCATCGTGTTCTTTCAAATGATCAAGGCACAAATATTGTTGACAGAAAATGCACAAAGCTCGAGACGGACGCTTACACTCGCTGAAGACACATGGTCGTGGTGACGGCACCATGTATTTTTTTTTGTTCGTAGCGAAACGTGTGATATGATACGAAGATAAAGGGTATGTTAAGTGTTGACTTACTAGTCCACAACATAACTGTCGTTATTTGCGCTTTTTACAGGCTTCTCATTTTACCAGCTATCACTCTAGATAAGGAGCGCAAGAAAAAGGAGCATAGTTAATAAAAATGTGCACGATGATGCATTGTATTAATATAACATTTTTATTGTTGCGATATAAACAGAGTATAAGTGTTTTAAGCGAGTTAATTGAAATTAGTCAGTATATCTACGATTTTTTCTGATCGCAATAGCAGTTCTGCAGTTTCTTCGTCTGATATTGCTATTGAATTTACATTTTGTAATCTCGTACAGGATAGTGATGAGCTAGGAGCGTTTTAGCGATTCTAACTTGCTGTGTTGAAGAAAGTTCAGACAACTACAACCTTTCTACCATCCCATTGCACGTGACAAGACCACACCACTGGATGGTAGGTAAAACTGAATCGGACTGATGGAAAATTAATAGGATTAGAAAGATTATGATTGTTAAAACTCTATAGATTTCTTTTCTGCATAAAATACTGAACCTATTGCACTATTTTAGAAGTTCTTACAGGTGACTTTTGAATATGAAAATCTTGAAATTTCGGTTTTCATCAGTCAAGATTGTAAATCAAGAACCATTGAGGCATATACCATAGTTTGGTTGGTTAGCAATAGATCAACCAGATGAATTATTGATGAAAATTTTCATAAACAATATTCCCAGATCTTTTGTTCTTCGATTTCAAGTTGCAAGAAGATCAATCGATAGGAAAAGTTTTTTCTTTCGATTTACGCAAGCTCAACATCTTTTTGCATGTTTCGTTCGTCAGTCATTAGACATTTCCTGAATTCTCGCATTACAGTCAATAGACCTATTGTTACCCGCAGACGTAGCTTGTGAGAGGTAATTCGCCATGTCGAATCGAATGGTGATATTTGTTTTTAAGCCCAAACTGATCTGACACTGATATCTCAATATTTCTGAAATTCCACAATCTGTCTTCATGTAACGAAGGAATTGACATTTTGAAAATATTGAGATAAAAGTATCAAACGAATTCAATCCTCAAAATAAACATCACCATTCGGTCCAACATGATGAGTTACCTCTATCTCGCTGTCTTGCCCAGTGATCCCGGATCAATTTACTGTAACCAATGATTTCAAGAAAAAGCCTTACAACTTTCAAATAGAACAAGTTAGGAATGTCGGCATTGCGTAAATTGAGAGAGAACTTTTGCTTCAATTCGACTGGTCTCATTACAAGTCTTAATCGAAAGATAAATGACTTTAGAATATCGTTTACAAAAGTCTTCGACAAGAATTTGCCTGATTAATCAATTGTTGATCAATTAAATTTCAATTCAACTCGATGGCTTTTGGTCTTCTCTCTTGAGTAATTACAACTGCAAGTCTCTATAATGTTCCGAAAAGTCATTCAAAAAACAGTAAAGCACTCTAAGTTTTGTAATTAATAATAGAATGAGTGTTCAACGTATTTTTCAACAAGCCAAATTGATTTAAGAGTAAAAATTACTTCCGAGAAAAATATTGGACATGGCAAAAGCTTCCAGGTTCACAGGACAGTGGTTAAGAGTCTTCTATTCAGCCAAATAGTTACCACCACTCACGGTCGCATCCACACCCACGTCCCACCGTGCTGAAGAGTGTCATCAGATGATTTGAACTATGCTTATTCGCCTTTGCGGACTTCTTTATGTCTTATTTTGAAATAGAGCTATTCCTAGAACGGACAAAATCATCCGCACCATCACCCCGATGAATTCAATTAAATGAACAATATAAATACACTATATTCACGGTATTGTTGAAAAATGATTACTCTAGATACTTATTCCCCAAACAAATTAGAATGGGGCGATGGGAAATTGAACAGCAAAATTCTGGAATTACGGATCCAATGAGAATGAATATATTAAGCGCAATCAGTACTGCGATTGATACACACGGATCATCAAATATGTCTAAAATCGCTAGTGATGTTCAAACCTGGTTGGAACACACTTATGGAAAAGTCTGGGCGGTTTTTATTTGGGAATATGGACGAGGTGAATGTTATTTTCATCGTTATGACGGCAGGTATTTGCGAGTAAAGGAAACCAATCTGGGTTGGCACATAAGACTTTTTCAACAAGCCCCCTAATAATACAGCAAACTTGCTCGATTAACTGCACTACAGATATTGCAAAGTAACAATAAAAATGACGAGTAGAAATTTTTCATTGAAATAAATCGATATTCGCGAAAAGATTTTCAAAACTCGAAGAATAACTAACAGAAATTGTCTTGTCGAGACTTCTTCGAACAATTGCATCAGTTGTCTTGAAAGAAGATCAGGATGAGCTCTAGTAACCATAACGCATTTTGGTCTTACTTAAGGACTTCATCAGATCGTTTGATGCGTTCATTCGATCTGAAATTGAAAACATAACACAATTACTTTGTCGTTTTTTCGAAATTTTCAATAGCCGTCTAAATAAATATCCAACAGTCTGTCAAAACATAGGACTTTTTCTGCTATTTAATGTTGCGTTCTAGTATGGTGTGATGAGGGTGAGGTGAAAGTGTATGAGTGAGCATTTGCTACCATAATCGTGGTTTCATCTATGCTAAGGAAATGATCAATTGGCTTTGATCTTTTTCTAGAGCAACAAAGAACCATATGTACATGATTTGGACAAGAAGATCAAATCGTTGCTTTAAACTCTTACATTACACAAAGAGACATTATGTTGACGATAAAACTTGAAAACTGAAGCTAAATAGAGTATTTTGGTAGATGAATTAAATGCATAATTTAATTATTGGCGCACTTCGCTATCTTTATGATGATAGACATTCATCAGAACTCTACAATTCATGAGAAAATTATATATCATAGGGGTCAGATAAAACGTAACGTATTCCAATCTATGCAGGACAATATGAAAAAAATGAAGAACAGAATAAAATAATTACTGCTCTTGCTCCAAACGACTCCGCTGTTCTTATCTTTCTGCCTTCACCAGTTTCACTTCTTATCCATGGCGCACGTTAGCAATATCGATGATGAATACGAGTATCATGTGCTGACTTCCGAAGAAGATGCTCGTGGTTGTGCCTGGGTGTTGACCAAAGCATACGCAGACACGGAATCATTTACGCGTTTCAGAGCTGATAACGCTGAAGACTATTACGCTTGCACAGTTTTCGATATTATCCATGAAAGATATCTTCTAGGAGATATCTCGAAAACATGATCAGTCTAAACGTTTTGATATGACTCCCGTGCCCTCATACCAGAGAGTAGCATTTCTTAATTAAGATTTCTGGAATCAGCTTTGGATTCGAATCCGTCCCGAAACAAGACAGTGAACACCGTTTTGGTGGCATCCTCAATCATGCAGTTCCGCAATCTTCTAGTACATAGCGATATCTTCAAAGATCTTAGCCCTTTTACGATGACTGTTCTTATTGACATGAGTTGAATATCAAACTACTATACAATATTTTATGCTCATCAATGACAACATCGTACGTCAGTCTAAAATTTTGATCTTAATCCATGACATTACTGTTAACAATAAAATTCTGATTGAACCAGACTGTGACTTTGTAGGTATTAAACTTAGAAATAGGGATGCTATATTTATAATACGTTTGAGATACGTTAGTGTGCCTAACTCAAGTAATTAGTAGTTAGTTGTTCACTGACGTAAATGTGAGATCTCAATTAAAGGAAAAGTCCCCAAATCTGCATTCAGTACAACTCCCAAATTACGTTTGTCAGGCTTCGAAGTAAAACTTGACTCTATCACAAAGAAAAAATATTTTTCTTATGCCGAAGATTGGAGTGTAGAGAGTATTCGAAATCTGGCAACGAAAAATAGGCATACTTAACAAAAGTTCCAACATTTTTTACGAGGTCCTTAGCAAACGACGCCTTACCTCGTGTACTTAGCTTACTCGGTGAACATCTCTCATTCTTCGCTCGCCATCGTACCACGAGTGAAATCGTTGGATGTGTTCTGGCTGGTGACTTTTATCTCGATCGCCTCAATTTTGAGTCGACTAAAAGTGGTCATTATCCCTTCGGTGATCTTATTAACGAATTTGATGAGATATTGCAACGAAATATTGGCGAAGAACTTCAACCTAATATCCATCTACGCATTTCACATACTGGAACGAAAACTGATTTAGCCGGCAAAGGCATCTGTAGTCGACTAACAAAGCTTGTCTGCGATAACGCGAGAAAGATGCATGGATTCAAATATGCTCACGTTAACGTCACCAGTCCGGCTACGCAGCACATCTACCTCAATAAGATGAACGGAAAAGTTGTTATGCAAATTGATCCGGCTAGTTGGGTATGGACGCAAGGTGGGGGAACATACCCGTTCAAAGACTGTCATGATGAGCCCATAACGAATATTCTCGTTACGTTGACCGGCGAAATAGATGATGCTATGTAAAGATCATTTTATCGAGAGTGCGGGTGTGGGTATGGGTGAATGAAGAGCACACTCACATTCACCCACATCCAAAAATTGTTGATTGAAAAGCTTTTGAAATTATTCGAAAAAGGTTTGCTCGAATTTGGATGCAATTAAGCCTCATAAAACATTCCTATAGTCTTGATGTGATGATTGAAGACGCTGATCAACAAGGAAAAACAAAGAGTCAGTCGTGAGGATGTGTATTTTTAAAGTATACGCGCGTCAACATAATATTTTAAACCTGCATCACTTCACCATCTGGACAGAATTAGCTGTATATCGTACCGGATACAAAACTAACTGAATACTCTTTTGAATGAAAGTTCCGCCTGTTATAATTTTTCTTAATCATGAGACAAGTAAGATGGTTTATTAATAATATTCATGCAACACGTTTGCTCAAACACCATGCAAAAGTTTCAAATAGACTCCATTTGTCCAACCGAATCCATCTTGTAGAGGATAATTTTCACCTCTGGCTTTTACATTGTCCACCATATCGTATTTCTCGATCATTTTTCCTGTCTCTTTAAATAATTTTTTACTCGATTTCCAATCACATTTTTGGCTATATATATTTGCCAGTAAATTCTCCGGAGAGTAGAGAAGACAATTAAGATCGATAGAAATAATGTCTGCTGCGTGGTTGGTCTCCATACGTTTAGTATCATCAAGCCAACGTGAAGAAAAATCCCAACCTGATTTACAGACAGCTCGAATGTGTTGATAGAATTTTTCAGCAGAGATGTCATTTTGCTCAGTTTTCTGACGATGACCTCTTCCTTCGGATATGATTCTGGTCGAGGCGTAGTCAAAGAATCCCAATATCGATTGAGAATCGTGCCATTGGGCAAACACACAATATACTAAAAATCTTACAAATGACTAGTAGAACAGTTTTTATTCTTTCATTTATAAATTTCTAAGGAAAGTTCTTGTGAAAGAAGCATTAAGATGATAAGACATTCTTGAGCAACTTCTTTTTTTCAACTTATTAATTAAATGCCTCAATGCTGATTTTATCTATACAGTGTAGAGTCTGAAGAAATAAATGACGAAACGAACTTACATTTTTAACTAGTTATTCATCTGTCAACTGATCACTATTCGTCATCTACCATTCATACTCTTTGAGTAGTTGAGATAAAAATCGTTGTTTGATATTTTCTGTATGATCTACATCAGCCAACAACTAAATCATCTCGGTAAAAAATGGCAGTTGTGATCGGCTTAAAAAATAGGTACTACTTCCATTTGGTATAAAACAAAATCCATCGATCATACAGATGAAATTATCAATCATTCCTCTCATTATATACAATCGCTCGGATGTAAGAATTAAACCTAGCATGGTAAAGTATGAGTCCCAATAGAAAATTTCTTGAAATCTACCACCAGGTACAATATATGGGAATGGAAGAGGTATTTTTGAACTGTCTTCAGTTGGCGTATCGGTTGGTCGAGAAAGAAAATCCCATAGATTATTTACGTGATCTTTCAGAGCAATAATTGAATAACTTGTGTAAGCCAAAGCAGGAAACGATGGAAGATGAAAATGTTTATTAACGACTGCGACGAAATTAAAATCTGATAAGATTTTGTCATGTTCGTAGAGAACAACTATTTCCGATGGTGAAACGTCTGGAACGTAATCCACGACAGTTTTTGTGTCGGAAAACACATGGACCAGTTGAATATCGAAGTAAAGTTGACCATACAATAGATCGGGTGATAGAGGAAAACTCGTGCTAGATGTCATATTTCAAATCTGAAGTAAAAAGCATTCAGTAATTAATATATTTTTAATAGAAAAGAACAGTTGATTGCCCATTTATACAATAACTTCTTTATTTGCTATGTTTTACTATTTGACCTTAATGATCCTAAAGGAACAGCTAACTAACAATGCGTGTGTTTGCTAGAGTAGTGATACGTAAAATATCAGCGCAAACAGAAAAGAAAAGAAAGGAACAAAGAAAAATCAAGAGTAAAATATGACGCAGAAGATGAATTATTATGGTGAAAGAAAATTAACAAAGAGGTAACTTCAAGATAAATGAAAAACGATTGTCAATGCAGAACGTCTCCGGAAATTAAGCATAGTGTTTAATATCTTCAACATTTATAATCGCTACTCAAACAGATGAACCATAATTTAATAACCAATTTAAGATACGGCCAAATACATCTACATGTAAGACAACTCGTTTAAAACGGTAGAGAATTTACACATATAAGTGTTTTGCATTCATTGAATACAGTTTTTTCGTCTTCATTTACCGTACGATGCACTCTTAACGATTACGTTAGCTTGCATTTTTTTTTTCTTCTCTTCTCTCTTGACTCAGTTAATTCGATATTCATATAAAAAACAAGGTGCTTACACTTAAGTAGTTATTCCTACTGTGGAAACATTTGAGTGATTCTTGAATATCTTTTTGTAGTTAAAGTACTGCAGATGTGCTCCCCATTTGTTTACTTAAAGATCAAGTGCGTGTACGCGTGAGTCTTTTGCTTTTTTATCTGTAATAATTTATATAATATTCAGTTCAATGTACACTGAAATCCTATACCAAACGATTTCAGTTGATGAAGAGATAAAAGCATTCACTCGCATTGAGTCAACTGGTACATTATGAATTCTTTAGAGCTTACAAATTCCATGGACTTGGACTTATTCGAAATGAATGAGCTTTTCTATGATCTGTTTCGCACTGTAGACTTCGGCACTGTAAATCGACTACTACAAATAATTGAAAAAAGTATCAAGCTCAGCATTATACGGTGGGATTTTATTGAACTTAGTAGATTTTCTGTCAAATCAAACATGTAATGTCTAACAGTGATTAAGTTCTCAGTGATCAGAGCTGCTACAAAATATAATTGCACGAGATGTAAAACAACATCTTTCGGTCGGTCAAAACTCGGCCAATAGCAGTCGCTTCATTGGACTGCTATGGATTTGTTTGACAAACGTAGAACAGCCATCCGTCTGCTCCTGTTTGACTTAAGACAAAGAAATGTGGCAATGGACCGGTTCTTAGCAGAACGATGATCCTGTGTAGTACGCGAAAAAACGAGGTTGTCATGTACTACCACTGTAGCCTGCCAATAGATTATGTACCTCTTCTTGAAAATATCTTCGCATATGAAAAATATTCCAAAAATAACGAGGAAAGGTCTCTAACTGTCAAATCACTTTTTATTCAAGTATATGCTCTAACGGTGGATCTAAATGAGCTGTTAAAAGTCTGCAAGGGCTTTATTTTTCAGACCTCTTGAGCCGAGATATACGATTATTACTATTACTAACTTTGTAGTACCACAGTAATAATATATTCGATATCTTGACTAAACATGCTCCGATCCAGCTCAAATTTTTATCACTATTAAGGCACTCAGTACTGATTAAGATCGCAGAGTTTGAAGACAAATCACTGTTTCTTATCGAAGATATGAATCTGTTTGATATACTGATTAGTTATTAAAAAAAATAGCATGTGCTCTTATTCAAAGATGCAAGTATTGGTTCATTTGATATTTCCAGCACACATTCATTTCATCGTGAACATGCATATGAACATGTTAGCTCATTTGTCGGCACTTTAGTTAATAAAATTGCAAGAATGCATTCGTGCACTTTTCACTATGGAACATACGATACCGATATACCAAACTTAATTATCGAAACGTATCGATATCTTGCATTTGTATTTCACTGACCGAAATGAAAACCTTCTTTTGTTTGAATGCGTTCTTTGCATAGAATCATTGATGGTAGAAAACGGCAAAGAGAAGTAATTGTGTGATGATGTCGTTGAAAGGACAATGATACTTAAAGTGAAAGAAGAAATGTGTGAAGGAGTATATGGTCGTGCTAACTATATGCATAGATGTATTTAATCACGATACATAATTTCTACTGCTATTACAAATACTGTGGAAGCGATTGTTCCTGATGTTTGTTCATTGGGGGATCATGGGAAATTTCGAAAGGGAAAACGTTGAAAGAGGAAATTTTCGAAAATGCAAATGTCGAAATAAGAAAGAAAAGACACATGAGAAATGGAAAGATCGAATTATTTAAAATATGTCAGTACAAAATTCAATTCTTTTTGTTTGCATTGGTCACTCGTCGATCAGCGCATTTTATTTTCTTTCGAATAAAGAAAATTTTTAACATTAAATAGATATATCATCAAAATTACCTCAAATACAACCTCTGAAAACAGTTCATTAAAACTCAGCAATTTGAGATAACGTTCGATACATCAAGCAAAGGCAAATCCTTAATAATATATGGCAATTGCTTATTCAGATGCAATAAAACAACAGCCTCTAAAATATATTGCATGTGTAGTAAAAAAGATTGTGACCTATCATCTATCACAAAAATAAAGCAATCATTTCAATTTCTTCCTTTTTAGTCGTTTAAATTTTCGACATTTTCCTCTTCCGACGTTTTTCTTGTCAACAGTTTCCACCAAGATCAGTATATCAAACAGATTCATATCTTTGATAAGAAACAATGATTTGTCTTCAAACTCTAAGATCTTAATCAGTACTGAGTACCTTAGTACTTATATAAATTTGAGTTGGATCGGAGCATGTTTCGTCAAGATATCGAATATATTAGTAGTGTGGTACTGCAAAGCTAGTAATAGTAATAATCGTATATCTCGACAAGAGAGGCCTGGAAAACCAAACCCTTGTAGGCTACTTAATAGCTCATTTAGGTCTATCTTTTGAGCATATTCTCGATCAAAAAGTGATTTGGAAGTTAGAGACCTCGCTCGTCAGTTAATAGACAATTGCGGGCTGATGCAGTGGATAGAATTCGTAACGCTCAAAATAGAAGATATTTAGATTGGTTGTTATTTAGATTAATAACTATCTAATTGACTGTTCAATAAATAAGTGTTGAAAGAAAATGCAGCAAATACATGAGAATCATGAATGAAATATATGGTTCTATCTTTTTGCTTCATTTGCGTATTGAGGAAAAATAACGAATAGCTTTTCTTTTTATTTATCTTCAATTATATATGATAAAGTGTTCTATATGAAGATGAGCATCAGATGTATTAAAGTATAAAGATGTTTTGTTTTGTATCCACTGATAAATATTTGACCTTTTTTATATGCTAATATCTGATAAATGAGAGACAACCCTTAGTTTCTGACAAATGAGAGAATAACTATTAATTTCATACAAAAAAGTTAACAAAAAAATGAAATGACTATTTTTTCAATCTTATTGACGTAAAGACAACATGATGCGAGATAATCGTAAACATTGAAGAATTAAACAGTTGTCACGATCAGCTGGTTCCATTTTTTCCAATAAATAGCCTAAGAGAATTTTACAAAAAATATTTTCTTTACATTCAATGACAATAATCATTTATTACTTATGTAAATCAATACATTGTTTATAAATAATTGTTTTAAACTTGATTCATTAGAATATGAGTTGAGTTGCTCTTCAACAGCAGTTAAACATTTCTTCCTGACACATATTTCAGATATGAATTTTGAAAAACGTATACGATTCTCGTTACTTTCAATATCATCGACCAGGTTAAACATTTGTGCCATAATAAGTTTACAATCGATGATTTCACTATTAATCATTTCTTGAATTAATGTTAAGTCATTGTTCACCAAAAATAACCTTCTCATCATGTTTATCAATGTTGATTCCATATTTTTAATAACCTAAAACATAAATAACAAAATGTTTTTGATCAATGCAGTTTTATATTGTCGAAGGTTACAAAGGAGAAAAAAAAAGAAATAGACAATTTTTTCTATCATGACATGTCTATGTTGACGACTGACTGTATAGGAGAACAAATGAAGAACTTCTTTTCTTCAGTATTTTAAATAAATATGCTCACTTCTTCTTTTCTCTTGTTTTCCGTCATTAAAGGAATCATCAAATTGAAGTTTTCGTCTGAAAAGAAAAAAGAAGTCGATAATTTAACTAGTTAAAATAAACGAGTACGTACCTAGCTCTATCAGTTTGCTGATCAAGCTTTTTTGACGCTCTTCATCAAGATCAAAATAACTTTTGGACTCAATATTTCCGAAATTTATTAATATATCGTCGTGCATGAACATTTCTGTTTTGACGTCGAGTTCGTACCGAAATAAAGTCATTGAAAGACTATTTGGTTGTATTATATCATTGATTTTGCCGATGTGAAACCCATCTAAATAGAGTATAATAATAGGATTTAATACCTAGGGAAAATTTTATTAATTAGCTTACATGCATCGTTTTTCACTGCAACAACATTATTTAGAAGTTTTTGTCTATTGTTTTGTTCTTCTTCATCGCGATCAAATCCACTATTGGTAGTTGCCGTGAGTGGCATTGTTTTGACGAAATGAACGTCAAAATGTCTCAATAGGCAAAATATCTACTGGAACGGATTAGTGAATCCTTTTACATTTGTTTTCGAGAGACAGTTACTATAGACATACTGAGCTAGAGAGAAAATCCTAATTTAATTGAAATTGAAATGCATTTACAGAGAGATATATAGAAAAAAATTGAGTGGATTTGCTGAAAATGAATATAGTAGTTGGCGCTCGTTTTTAATTGACTCCTGAAGAAGCTGACTATGACTTTGTCATCGTGAATGGCTATAATGAGTGCAGTGTTAGTACTGTCTTTTTCTTAGAAATTCTGTCCGATATAGTATGTTTAAAACATCGAAGCAGATAACAAAATCAAAACACGCATTTAAACGCTTAAAACTTTTCGAGCGTGCTTGATTGCCAATCGCGGTCAGAATAACTGACCGCTAAGATGTCCACTTTTACTATACTCAAAAAATCTTCAAAGTTTAAACGATGTATTTTCTGAAACAAGTTAAGATTTACTTTTTCATTACTGTTTTCGACTGACAATCGGGAACCACGATTGACATCCGAAAGCGGTTAGCTTTTTATAGCGTTTAAACTAGTGTCCTGCAATGGATCGGGTACTCGGCATCCAACCTGACCAGGAGCATGGGTCCGGATGTGAGTGTGAAAGAATAAACGACTACACCCACACCCTCGCCTTTTTCTCCTAGACGCTTCGATCAATTGGACTAAAATGTTTTGTGTGATAACTAGGATCAAATCCAGGTATACATGTTTTTTTTTCTTGAATTGATGTTCTGGTGGCTTTTGGTAGATCTTACAGAATTTGTCCTTGAGAGAAAAACACGTTTTTGACAGGATCTCCAGTACTTTAGTTCTTCTAAATGAAGAAAACAATATTTTTCAAAGAGATTGTGGGTGTCAATGTTAATGTTGGCGGTTCTGAGGTTGTGCTATCAGTTCATCCACATCTGACAACTACGCTCGACACCGACATCAACACCTACACCCTGATCTTCTGGATTTCAATATGTGGAGATTGATTTGAAAGGATATATTCAAAGTCTTATCGTTTCTTGTTGTAAAAGAGATGAAAGTCAAAAACAATGATTCTCAGATCAATGTAGCTTTTTTCTTTTGATTATATTGCTTTTCAAATTTCTTTGGTGTCAGTTTTTCTCTCGGGCTAAAGTGGTAAAACACCGCATCATAGTCGATGTTGTATATAAATACTCTTTATGCATAAATTTTTACTATTTTTCCACAACTTAATGATTAACAAATTATGCATCTATCAACTATTCAATATTTTTTTCATTTTTTATACTTTCGAGATTTTTGTTTCTGGATCTCTGTTTTTCGAGCTTTTTCTCCTTCGAGATTTTACTCGTTCGAGTTTTTATCTTTCGGTCTTTTTTCTGCGAGATTTAACCTTTTGAGCGATTAATACAAGTTCTCCAATTTAATCCTAGTTGCTACAAAAAAAATCCAGCCATCAAAAATGAATTTCGGATGTTTGCGGGAGCGGGGAGACGTCAGACCATTTTTGACATCTGCGTCTCCTGTATCTCATAGAAGAAAGCATCTGGGAATCCTCAGTCTATGACAACTTGTACTCTGTTAGTCGAGGTCTATGTACAATAAAAGTTTCATAATTTTTGATAGAACAATTCTTGAGAAAGCCGGGCAAGGGCGGGAGGGCCTTAAGAGGATTCTTGTAAAAACAAGCAGTGTATCTCATAATCTACTTTTTGAAGATAAGAGCATCATAATATTTTGATCGTTGTTGATTGAGAGTTTCATTAATTTCAAGGCCAAATTCTTGGTCGAGACAATATGTAATATTGCTTTCTCGAAAATAATGTTTGATGTCATAATCAGTATCAGTCATATCGGTTAAGACAATACAAAAATCATTTCGTATCAATCTCTCGATTAACTAATTAGAAAAGTTTCAGCAAGAAAAAATAGCTATTTTTTTTTGCATATCATCGACCTTCTGAATAAACAACTGTAAATCTTGTCTATGTATTTCTGTGATTTTTATAGCCAAACGTGAACTTTCTTGAATTCTTTTCAAATTACAGACGAGAAAACACAAAAAAAGGTAAATATTTAGCTAATTTACCAATATGTATTAATCATGACAAGGCTATTTGATTATGTAAAACACAAAAGAGGAAGTGACTTTTCATTGACACGTGTTTCACTTCGTTGTGAAACAAAATTTTTGTTCTTTCTGTATGGTACTCGCAAAATAGCTGAGCTTTTTTTCATAGATAACTTTTGTTTATCAATTATCGATATCTTTTTATGTGCAAGAATAAATTGTTGATATTTGTATTTTGTTTTCAAAAAAAGAGTAGAAATAATTTTTTTTTGTAAAGTTTTTTTGTCTTTTTTTCTGATTGCCTGTCCTCTATTAATCAGAATTATTTTGATTCAATGATGCTGTGCGCAATTCCCGAATCTTTTTTTGAATTAATGGACTCGCCACATGTTCAAATTTGCGTTGCCATTCATCATTGCGCCAAAAATCAAATCGAAGTTGACCTGCACAAGTGCTAGCACCACACATGCATTGAGCACCTGCCATTAGACTGTCTTCGGTTTCGAAGCTACCATAGTGCATGGTCAGTTCTTCTCCGACATTGATGTCACGTCGAGCTCTAACTGCCCAGCCATTATTCGATCCATCAAAATCACAATTTGGTTCACATGAATGATTAAATAAGGCACATTCATCAGTAAGCTCTTGTGTGCTAATATAGCGAGGAACATCGAAGAGATCATCATCGATCATCACAGTATAGTTTTGAATGAAATCAGATGCTTGTGGATACATTTTCATCAGTTCAAAAACTTGTTTTCGCGTAAATTTGAATCGTGAATCATTTTCTTGATAATAACTGCATGTTACAGGGTCACACTCGTAAATTTTCTCACCTTGGCAAATAAATTGAAGTGTCACCACTCCACGCTGCTGAAATCCGTATTTTTCAGAAAGGTCGCATATTGCTACTTTCTTAAACAACGGCATCCAGAAAAAAAAGTATCAACGATGTACACCACGCTGTGCAGTGACGATACAGAAGCGATAGGAAGAAACGATTGATGATTGCTGACTATGATCGACGCGTTTAAATACACATCGACAGAAAGCAATTTTCACACAATGGTAAATGACATATTATGCATGTGATTTTATCTGTATTAGTCTATAAACATAATGCAAAATTATAATGCGCATGAGAAAAATTTCTAACCTCTTTCATCAATTAATCAGTTGCCTAAGAATTGCAATAACCAAAGTAATAGATAGATTTCATTATGTAATCTAATAAAACGGTGTGTGTATTCATCTTCCAATCAAATGTCAATATACTTACAAGATTAGCATGTTAGAAAATACGAATTTCACATGGAAGATTTCACTGGTGATTTCAGTTCAATTGAACAATATATGCAGAGAACCAACGAAGAACATTCAGTAAATCTGAAAGAAATTACTATTTTGAAAAATTAAGATTTCATAGTTTTAGATGAAAAGCGAAAAACTATTTTGAAACAATTTTGAGTTATTAGAAAATGAATATGTCACAAGGAGATTTTTCACATAAACTGAATTGAGATCTTCCATTGATTCATGTGTATGAGCCTAAAATAATTGTGATGATGCTTGAAACAAGAAATTGCAATTTCGTTGAAGAGAAACAATTGATTTCTAATATTAGAACAATTCATACCTTTAAAATCTTAAAAGTTGTTTTTCATCTTTTCTATTAAATCCTCCATCAAATTAACAATCAAGATTACCACATTGTCAGGCAGCTCAGCATATATCTTTATCATATGGGTTCGAATTGTGCTAGAACTAGACCATCTAAGTAGTTCACTAAATCCATGTTCATCACCTAAGTATTTCTCTAATACATCACAGTACAGTATCAATTCATTTTCAAGTTACACAACATTGCACATTTCCTCAGTAAAGTCGGCGGTGAGATACAACACATGAAGAAAATTATTTTTCTCATGCTTTTAAAGAAAAATCAATTTATTCAAAAATATTCATCAACAGAAAATTTTTTCAATGATTATTCTCTTCCAATTTTGATGATGACTTTATTCTGATATGCAAGTTACAGAAGTTCATAGATCACACTATTTTTTTTTTCTAAATGATTTTCAAAATAAAGTACCCGTTCTTTCTCTATCTTTTTCATATTAAAAAGACTCTTTAGTCAAATCTTCTATACAAAATCGATTTCGTTGTCGAAATAAAATTCTATTCAAAATTGCAACGATAGAAAAAATGACAATGATTATAATTCTTATTCTACTCAATATAATCTTTCTTACATATTTTCAACTTCAAATCATACAATAGTGTTGATTATATTTTCGACAATGAAGTTCTTTGATAAGAACGAAAATTGCTTGAGGAGTAACATATGAACTTATACAAGCAGAAAAACAATCAACTGGATCACATTATCAGTAATTTTGTCCTTTTGTTGTTTCTTTTGCTAGTAAGACTCCTTCTTATTTTGGCTCATGAAAAACTATGCGAGCAACAATAATAATTGATTCTATATCAACACATGAATCCGTTGATACTTTTCATTTCGAATGTCGAACATGTACAAGTGTAACTATTCTGATGTCTTAAAACTTTTCAAACATATTTGTGAATCTCAAACTCGATCAGTTAAGAATTCAAAGTACATCGATAGTGTTTTCAGTTGTATAAAGTTACTGATTTCGTAAATATGTATGTGCATCTCTGATCCGATACTTTTCAGCATTTCAACACAATCAAAAACAAATAGAAACAGATCATGGAGTGTATACATCCATACAAAGATCAATGAGCAAGAAAAACAAAAGAAATGACGTGGTTGTCGATTTTATATCGTTGTTCTTTACTGCTGTACTTCATCTTTTTACACGTATTAGTGGAAAGAGATTTGATAAGTTCACATCCCACGAAAGAATTTTACATATTAGCCTAGCAATCGTGTCAGCATTTTTTTTCCTTCATTCAACATAAATCCAAATGATAAACATGTTCTTATTAGTGATTGCGAAACTTGTTTGGATCATGGTTTGGCTATCAATCTTAACAGATAAGGTTTCAACGTTCATCACGCGCAACAGTTTTCTGTTTTAACATCACTAAGCAAGAAAGCATTGAGTTTCGATTCTAGTCAAAGAAGAAACTAGCATTCTTCATGCACTTGCCCGTAATGCTAGAATTGGGAAAAGTAGATTTGTTGACTAGACGTTGGTAGAATTTATACAGAACATGATGAATCTGAATATCTTAAGTTATGTAGTAATGAAGAAGAAATTCTTATCATTACACATAGTCAAACAGGATTCGTGTATAGTTAAGTTTCAAAAAACAAAAAGATCAATTTATTTCTCTGATACGCAGAATATCTCAATAAAGTGGCATGAAGACTTCAACATGCTGTAATGATAATGACTCCGAATAATTGTAATCAACTGGGTTGGTAATCAAGTATTTTGCTTTTTTCTCTCTCATTGGTTCCTGTGTGGATCACTGATTTCCTTGTCACTAAAAAGGATTCCACAAATGTTCTTCTAGTCAGTATCTGTGAACAATTTAAAGAATAGCTCCAATTGATGTTAATGAAGAAAGTATTTTAGTTGAATTCAAATAGAGAAGAATAAAGTTTGATAGACTATTGAAATATATACTGTATATCGCCACTTATGATTAGTATTTGTTGATGTAGATAGGATGCAATTGTAAGATTTTCTTATCTAATTTTGTTGTAACTTTTATCCTTTATTATACTTCGATAGAGAAATTTGAACAAACGATATTAATTTTCAAATTATCAATGTGAAATGTTTGCCTCACTAGATGTCCTACATCATGGTATGTTCTTTCAATATTTATAATTAGTGTTGATATCATTATTTAATGAATCACTAAATCACATGATTATTTAGTTGCTTATTAATTCTTATAATTAGTTTCAATCATAGCATACAGCTCGATTATGTTCATCATGAGTACAGCTAAGTGAAATTCTATCATGACTATTTACTTAACTATGAGTAATAAACATGGTAGAGAGGTACAAAGTCCAAAGACAAGTTTCTGCATTTACTTTTTGCATGCAATCGTTTTTTTTTTCTTCCTTTCAATGTGCGTCTTTTCTCAAGGTCGGTCATCGATGAAAACAAATAGTGTGCTGAAAGTCATGACCAACAACAAATAAGTAAAAAAAGAAATTATGTTGAATATATTTCTTGCTCTGTTTCTTTTCTTTTTAATTAAGAATTTACACTTACTATAACATCATTCGTCATACTTTCTATGAGTAATTCGATTGATTGAGTAATAGTGTATTATTTCTTTGAAATGAAAGAAAGTTCAATTACTTAGAAAATCAATATTATCAATTGCAATAGATGATCATGCATATCGTGAAATAGTTCTTAAATTTATTTCTTGAGGAAAAATATTCCCTTTGGAGTTGTTATATTTATATTTTATGTATAAATCGAATGTGATATTTAATATTGATTTTTTTTTCATAGATATTTGTCAAATAAGAAGTAATGTTTCGATACTTGACATTAAACACTTTGAAATATGGGATCGAATCTAAAATTCAACAAAATATCTTTCATAAAATCTCATTTTCTACCAATACAAAATCTACACAATCAACAACCAGCAATAGTATGCGTCACTATATTAAAAATGTCGGATATCTGTTAGGTGCAGGTGTCGCTTTTTCACTTGCTTATGCAGCATATGAATGGATCCTACGAGTACCGATATGTCCAAAGTTCAATCGAAAACAATATATCAATATAAATAATGTTTTATTATGTACAGCATTGTTGCAAAACATGAATGAACAATGTTCAGGACGTAATCCTATGAAGAAAATTGGTGCAATTACTGGAGTCAATTATAAACTTAGTCAAGTTCAATTAGAAAATTCCAATGTATCTTCACGTATTCTTCTAAATGATGAACTAATTTCTCAACGAAATTTATTTGATATCAACTATATATCTGAATATGTCGAAACATTAACTGATTTAATCTTGAAATTAGATGAAGATCGTCGTATTAAACTCCTGTCCAATATGATTGGCTATTATGTATTTATATGCCCAGAATGTCATTCATCATTAACACAGCAAATTATATCATGTACTTCTTATCTCCATAAAGCGGGATTACAAAATAATCCCGTTAATATATCAGAAATTGACAATGTAAAGAGTCAAACTTAAGTCAACTGTTTACCAACACGTTAAGCAATGAAAGTCATTCAAATAACCAAACTATGTCTAGCAGTGAAATAGTTCTTTAGGCAAAGTTCTACATGTGAGTCAACAGCAAACAACCATCCACATTCATATCAATAGTAGCTTCATGTTTCTTTTCAAATTCGCCTATTAAAGCCATGTATTGTTAAGCTCTCAAAATGAAGAATATGTATACATACGCAATAGTAATCCATGCGCATACATATGTATCATGTAATTTCGCACAATAATAAACAAAAACGACAGGTGTATATTTTAGTATTATGTAGTACTATTTTAACATCGAGCAACATAGGAGTAAAAATAATCCGAGAGCAATCCATCCAAAAATAACTGTCAACAAAATAAATTTTATCAACTAGAAGCTTTTGCATGATCTACTAATTTTTATAAATTGTATCTCTTTCTGAATCAAAATTATTATATAAAAAGTATAAAAAAAAAAAAAGAAATATCATGAAATCTTCTTGTTATCTATATGTACTCGATATTATAAATTATCATTTATTTATTATTGTTGAAATAGTTTTATTCTGATTTTATCCATGTTAATCTCGACAAGGAAAGCTATAACTTTATGTTTTGATATTTATGTTTTTTATTTTGTTTTCTAATTTATCGAATGCTTTTTATTGTTATGGTTCTGTAGCATTCTAAAACACTTATGAAGAAAAAATAATAAGATAGTGTCTCTTAGTCATCAAAGCACAGTGAACTACAGAATGTACATTTGATGAAAAACATGAAAGTGATATTTTTTGCAATTTGGATTACAGTAGTGTGTAAAATTATAGGTTCACTTCACATTTTTGAATTGTTTGGTACGGTATGTCCTTATAAACGCTTTTATTAAAGAGTCGATAGGTGGATTCTGTAGGGCAGACTGGACTCTTTTAAAATATGCGGTTTGCTTCTACTATTTCATTGTCGTCAGTGGACAAAGTAAATTTTATGAAAAAAGACGCATTTTTGCTTGTGCAAAATTATAGATTGACCTTGAATTTTTCGGTCTCCACTTTTTCGTGGCACAATTTTTTCTGTGAAATAATACCAGCACAACTTATGCTTTTTCTCTGTGATTGTTGAATTAATGTTCTTCTCAACTCGATTATTATTTTCCGTGTTAGCATCTTTTCATGGTGCGTCACAAGGAAATGACCTTTTGGATCGGAAAAAGAGGAACTATTAAATAAAAAACTTGGCAAAAGTGAGGTGAAATATGATGATAGTAGCAAAGACAGTTTGCCGGTTTTGTTGTTGAAAACCCATGAGAGTTGGAGCTGAAAACGTCCTGTAGTCTTCAAAGTTGGTTGCCTACTCTGACAGTTATACATGAAATAATGGACAAGAAATAGTTGGGGACTTTGATTTAAGTCAGTGCTATTAGGCAATAAAAAATGATGACTTGTACGTGCGACGATGAGCCGTTAGATATCGCTGCAAAACTCATCTTGTTAAATGTACAGTTTTCTTGCAAGCTGACAAAAACATAGACAGCTTGATTTTAGAAGTTAACATATAAAAAGGTTCTCTCGGTGTCAGAAACAGATTATCTTGAACGGCGAAGTTCACTTTGAAGTTTGCTATCTAAGCTATAAGATTGGTCAAGTGTGTTATGAGTTGATGTGAGAAGTCCATTATGTGCACTATCATATCGCAATAGGAAGGAATGATATCATAGTCGGGGATTTTATGAAGAATGAAGAAATTAATCTACTGATCGTATACCAATCATTGACTATGTGGTTCCCTTATACATCATATCAATGCCAAAATGCTACATCCCTCTTCGTCGAAGAAATATGTAGTTTAGAAAATGATGAGGGATGCATGTTTAACCAGATAGCTATTCTTATGTATAAGAATCTACTGCAAATAATCGTAACAAAAGTACTGTTTACCTCATGCAGTGACCAGTTCTCTCTTTCCTATTTATTCAACCGAGAATCGATAGGATCTGATCGATGTCTGTCTCGAAGCTATATGAAGTAAAATACTAGTGCATAGTATGAGGAGTGATGACAAAAAAAAATGTTGATGAACGGTGAAAAAAATTTCGATAGATATTTCAAGTGAATTTATAATTTTGCACAGGCAAAAAATGTGTCTTTTTTCATAAAATTTACTTTGTCCACAGACGACAATAAAATAGTAGAAGCAAACCACATATTCTAAAAGAGTACAGTATACTCTACAGAATTCACCTATCGACTCTTTAATAAAAACTTTTATAAGGACATACCGGACCAAACAATTCAAAAATGTGAAGTGAACCTGTCATTTTGCACACTACTGTATGTCCAATATACTTTGGTCAATGGTGAACTTTTTAAAGGTAGGAAAAACCTTAGACCGAAAAAAATGACCAAGTTTCTATCATCTTACAGGAAAGTATCTGTCTCTAAAGAAAGTGGAAAGATCTGTGGAATGAATCGTAGAGTTGTTGCTCTATCATTCTATATGAAAAACTTAGTTTTGAAAAGTATGCATGTTTTCTCAACTAAGAATTTTCTACAAAAGATATGTTCAGTGTAGTCAGTGCGCATATTTCAGTACAGTTTCAAGCGTGGTGAAACTTTGACAGAATATTTTTCTTTATTTCAAGTGTTTAATCGGTTAACATAAAAATACATATATGCTTCTGTAGTAATATAGAGATTTTCTAAAAACTCGTGGTTTTTAAAGTTTTTCTAAGTTCTTTTGTTTATGAAGTAATTCAAGAGAAAATAATAATGATATATTTGAAAACAGGACGGAAAACTACACTGAAATGATGTGATATTTGTTAGTTTTTAGAATAAAAATTTTTCTAACAAAAGTTTAGCGTAAGATTCACCTCGTGTATTTTCCATTGAAAATGTTTTTTTTTATGAACTTCACTTTTTTCGTTGAGTACTGGAAATTAATATTTCTATGAAAAATAAACACGTGTTTTTGACACAAATTAAACCATGCCCACATGCTCTATAGAAATCACTTATTGTACAATAGTGAGAGTGAACGAGTGATCTAATGATTTTATTGTTATTGAACTTGACTATTTCTTTATTTTGATCATCATCAATACTTTCGAAGGATTTTCTTTTCTTTTGTTAATAGTCTTGAGTTATTCTCATTTTCCAGCATGTATCATAATGTTTATACATCTTTCTAATTATATGGTCATAAATTATCGCTTTGTTTCTCAATTAGTAATAATGATAATATTTTTTCGATTACTATTTTATTGATATAATTTTTTTTTCTTCATCATACAAATAATACAATATTCTTTATTGCCATTCTTAAAGTTTAAAATCAAAACTACGGCATTATAATTATTTGATAGAGCGCCTTAGCTAATTTTCCAATTTCTCTATTCGTGTCTGTCAATATACATGTACAGCTCTTATCCTTGCAGTACTCACATGTAATGAAAATATAAAAATGTCATTTACAAAATGTCTTTACATCAGTGCAAAAGAGACTATCTACGGGACAGAATACTAAAATGATTATATATTGAGGTATGAATACAAAAATTTTATTTCCTCTTCATTATGACATTGTTTATTTCTTCTGACGAATAATTTTAATCTACTGTAATTATACAAGATTATTAAAAAAACTTGTTTATTTATTTTTTTATATATTCTAATCGTTGTTAGCATTCACACACATACATGTCTGAAAATAATCAAATATCAACAATTTGGAACTGAGTTCTAATGGAAGGACATTGTCAAGTAGCGATGATGATGAATCATTTGATGAAGTAATCTATTACATGGAGACGAAAATGAATTATTACCAAGGTGAGCATTTATTATCGTGATGGAAAAATCATTTTTGTACGTATTCACAATTATGACGTTTGGCATTAGTGATTTCTTGTTTTTTTATTACTATTTATTGAAAAAGTTAAATAGTATACCGTTACATATAAAATAAAAGTTTGAAAATGGTTTTTTGAATGTGAAACTATCTGTCAAATGTCGATGATCTTCAACTTGGATCCAGTTGCAGACATATAACCCACTTAATGATTTGTCCTGGAAATGTTGATAAAATTCCAACAAGCTTTTTCTGAACGATATCTAAAATACGGCTAAATCTCAAACAAAGTCATACTTTAATCATGGCATTTTCTTTTCTATACGTCATTTTTCATGCTTCCATTCAATACGTCGAAATCTATCACACATGTTAAACTTGAATGTTGAATTCAGTAACTAAAAAATTTTAAAAAAAAGTTGTCCATATAATTGAACTTTTATATTTGCGTTACGACATGAGAACGTGTAGCGATCCTCAAAGAGTGTTCATCCATACTTGTCTCTTTGTACACAGTAAATTCTGTTTCTATTTTATGGTTTGATCCTAACGAAAAACACGTACGAGTTTGGGCGTACAGAAAACGATGTAAATCTAAACGGATCAAGAGATTACAGACATTTTTTTAAAATAATTTCCAATCGAAACGATAAACTGGATGAACTCGTTTCAAAACGTCATATCCATGTAAGATACTAATTTGAAACTCACATATTTCTATATGAATAACACTTTTATTGCATCTCTTTAAGATGAAATTAAATATAAAATAGAATTGAAAAGAATGATCGACAATATGTAAAATTAAATGAATCAAACAGATCAGAGATCGAACCGATCTGCATTTTTCACGACAAGTATCGGTACATGTCTGACTAAGCCAGACTGGACTCGCCGATCGTCTATAGACTAGCCGTTCTGAAATCTATATCGACACTGTACTAACTAATAGTCATACTATTGCATCTGTGAATAATGATCTTTGACATAATCAACTTTAACTAAAATAGATAAACACTTATTCATCAATATGATCAAACTAGCAAGATTTATACGAATACAAGCAAATTCTATTCAAAAGAATGTATTCTAGTCATTTAATTGACATATACAAACACATGAGATTAAAGAAAAAATACGAATAACAATAT